GGCAGAGCCCTGGAAGAGGCTGCCCAGGGAGGTGGTGGAGTCTCCTTCTCTGGAGACATTCAAACCCCACCTGGACACGTTCCTGTGGGACCTGCTGTGGGTGGCCCTGCTCTGGCAGGGGGTTGGACTGGATGATCTCCAGAGGTCCCTTCCAACTCCGTATCATTCTGTGATTCTGTGATATTCTAAGAGCTTCCTTTCCTTCTCTCACCTCACAGCTTTTTAAGCTCTGCTGTAGAGGGCTGGTTCTCTACCAAATGCACACGGCCACTTCGAACAGGTGGGGTTCCTCTGGCAGGGGGTTGGACTGGATGATCTCCAGAGGTCCCTTCCAACTCCGTATCATTCTGTGATTCTGTGATATTCTAAGAGCTTCCTTTCCTTCTCTCACCTCACAGCTTTTTAAGCTCTGCTGTAGAGGGCTGGTTCTCTACCAAATGCACACGGCCACTTCTTCAGCGTCTTAATTTCTTTTCAGGAAGAGAATGGAGACTATACTTACGTGGAAAGACTCAAAATCCCACTTGATCACGGGACTCTGCTGATGATGGAAGGAGCTACCCAGGAGGATTGGCAGGTGAGAACTCCTTGGCACCATTTGTGGGCTTTATTTTCCAAGCCCTGTTCTAAATACGCAGAAGAGACTCCCATAAAGGTCCATGACTTTCTGCTTCCAGCAACACAATCATTTCCCAGCACGTTATTATTGCTCTTGGCCTCTAAATTTCAAAGCATCCACAGAAACCATGGGTTTTCTTTCAAGTGCTAAGGGATGTAATCATCTCAGATGTTCCAGCATTAAAGTTCAGCAATGAAGGTTGCAGCCTGAAAGAGCAAAATCAATTTAGGAAGTTGGAATATAAAAAAAGTTGCAACTTAATTTAACAAGTCTGCTGTAATCTGCAAAGATCTTTTGTTTTCAGTGGCCCCGAGCAGTCAGAACATGAATTTTTTGCCTTACTTAAATGTTTAGAAACGTTGATAAAAAGCCAACACAGGAAATTAAGGTTTTTTTACACTGTTTGATCACCTGTATTTTAAAAACACAAGCTCATGCTTTTGGTCTTTTTTTTTTTTTCTTCTTTTTTTTTTTTTCTCTTTTTCTAATGCCACTTACAGCATCGAGTGCCAAAGGAATATCATTCTAGAGACGCGCGGATAAACTTGACGTTTAGGATCATTTACCCCGAACCTGCTGGAGTTTGGAAGTGAGGAAGGTGCCTTGGGGCCTTGTTGGGTGTAAACACACGGCAGATCCGGAGTCTCCGATCGCTCCAGCTTTGAAGGAAGCCTTGGGAGGAGCAGAGCTCTGTGAAATACCTGATGGGGAAAAGGAATCTCTGTTATAAAGATCTTTGACAGTCAGGAGCTGCCTGTGTTATGTGGGAAGGTGCTGGTTTCTTTTTGGAGATGACATGCTGTTAGATGATACTCCATCTAATCAGTTTGTGAAAAAAACAGTGATTGTCCTTAAAAGAACACAAAGCACGTGAAAGATCTGAGAGGTACCAACTGAAGCAGCCAGATTCAGTGAGAGGTTATTTTTTGCACCTTCTCTTGCCTCCCCCTTTCCCCCCAAATAGAGATCTGTGTTTTAAGTACCGACACGACAGGATTGTTGAATGTAAAGCCAGCTGTGTGTGTGGTGTGTACAGCAACCAGAGAGCTGCGCTCCCCGCTGACCTCCTGCTGCTGCTCCCTTCATCCAGGGGTAAGTGTCTTGCTTTTTGTTTGGAGGTTGCAAAGTCTTTTCCAATGAAGCAATCACAGAATCACAGAAGGTTGGAAGGGACCTTAAAGATCATCTTGTCCAACCGTCAACCTCACTGACAAAAATAGACACCCACACAACAAACAAGGAGCATCATCCCTAAACCATACCTCCCAGCACTCCATCAACCCGTCTTTTGAACACCTCCAGGGATGGGGCCTCAACCACCTCCCTGGGCAGCCCATTCCAATGGCTGAGAACCCTTTCAGTGAAAAAATTTTTCCTAATATCCAGCCTGAACCTCCCCTGGGGCAACTTGAGGCCATTTCCTCTTGTCCTATCGCCTGTGACTTGAGAAAAGAGACCGACCCCCCCTGGCTACACCCTCCTTTCAGGGAGTTGTAGAGAGCAATAAGTTCTCCCCTCAGCCTCCTCTTCTCCAGGCTGAATAACCCCAGTTCCCTCAGCCTCGGTCCCTTATTTCTGCTTTTTGGGTTTTCTTTTTAGCACAACTCACTTGTTGGCTCCCAGCGGTTTCAGGTGGGACAGGAAATGTCAGGATCTCTAACAATTAGTGCTGCCAAATTTGATACCCAGAAGAATCGGTCCAAAGGTTTTCATGAGGGCAATCAAGTTATTAATACTCAATTATGCCTGTGTTTTAATGTTATTGGTGACCAAAAGGACAGACACTTGATTCATTTGAATCCCTGTGCTCTGAAATTGGACAAAATCATTCTCTTTGTGTATCAAACAACTTTAGAAGCAGCTTCTCTACCTAAAGCACCATACAGCTTTTGCCATAGCTTATTCTTCTAAAATGGACACATGTTATTAGAAAACTTACTTTATCTAATCATGTCTTGGCTTTCATCTCAGTTTGTAGAGAAATACATTTTTGGAGTGTATTTAATATGAATTCCTTGCATCTGAATGTAAGCTCTGGGCTCTGCGATGTATATTTTGAGAATTGGTGTTGAAGGAGGCAGACACTTACTTTCCTGTTTATTTTCTTTGAATAACTAGAGTTTTGGGCACATCCCTGTGTGTGTGTGCCCAGGTCTGGTGGTCCTGACAGAGGTTGCTTTTCCTTAACCAACGGGCAGTGCCAGTTGCTCCAGGTATTCTGACAAGGCAACACCTCAGCCTTTCATCAGTTCTTACAAGCTGCATTTATTTACACTGTGTTGAGAGACAGTAGGAGATGGGGATTAGATGGAAACTTTATATCCCCAAAACTCACCCTATGGAAATGGCAACTTGTTTGGATTCAGTGAAGCTGTGGCACATCACTGATGATGGAGCCCTGGAGGCTGATACTGTTGCAAAAGATCAGTTTTTCACTTAGTTTCTCGGTTTCAGTTGTGATTTAGTTTCTTTGCCTCTGTTGATCTGGGAGAAGACAAAAGTTTTCTTCCCCAGCAATAAAAAGATTTATAGGAGAAGTGCTGTATCCCGTGGAGCTCTCTTGGGGTGATACCCTTTTGCTGCTGGTGTTTGCTGTGTTCTGTTCCACAGCTCTGGAGTCCTCAGCACAGGAAGGACATGGACCTGTTGGAATGGAGGAGGCCACAAAGATGCTCCAGGGGCTGGAGCCCCTCTGCTGTGAGGACAGGCTGAGAGAGTTGGGGGGGTTCAGCCTGGAGAAGAGAAGGCTCTGGAGAGACCTTAGCGCCCCTTCCAGTCCCTCAAGGGGCTCCAGGAGGGATGGGGAGGGACTCTGGATCAGGGAGAGGAGCAATAAGACAAGGGGGAATGGTTTTAAGCTGAATGAGGGGAGATCTAGATGAGATCTCAGGAAGCAATTCTTTGCTGTGAGGGTGGTGAGAGCCTGGCCCAGGTTGCCCAGAGAAGCTGTGGCTGCCCCATCCCTGGAGGGGTTCAAGGCCAGGCTGGATGGGGCTTGGAGCAACCTGGTCTGGTGGGAGGTGTCCCTGCCCAGGGCAGGGGGTAGGAACTTGATAATCTTTAAGGTCCCTTCCAACCCAAACCATTCTATGATTCTGTCTCATATCAACTGTGCTGCTGCTTATACCCAAATCTGGTTGTCAGTGGGGAGAAGAAGGCTCATGGCGTTGTTCCTCCCCCTGTCCCCAGTGCCCTGGCTGCAAGGGGAACAGTTGGCAGAGAGCTCAAGTTTCTTGGTCAGCTGGGAACTTGTGGGTCCTTCCTTCCTTCCTCCCCCCACCTCTTCCCAAAAAAAGTCACCTAAGGCAGGTGGCAGCGGATTGCAGCCTCCTGCCTGCTGGGACGGCAGGAAATGGCTGAGAGCAGAGGAGATTCCAGCCCACATCTCCTCGGGAGACATTTTTCCTGTAGGTAGAAATTTGTTCCTGAATGTTTCGAGAGCTCTTGCAGTTCTCCAAATGAATTTTGTGCAGAAGTGAGATTAGGGAAGTATTGAGCCCTGGTGCTGTTCTCACAGCACCTAACGATTTTTCGCTCGAGACCAGGGCAACTTGAAAATTCCTATTGCTGCCATTTGGGCTGTTTCTGCTGCTGGAGTCAAGCGCAGAAGGTAATGTATTTAGAAGGGTAAAAACATAGTTTGGTTCCATTTCTTAGCTTAAAGGTAGCTGGAGAAACCTTTGCCCTAGTTACATGGGTTTGAGAACAATATTTCTCATAATTTCAGCCAAAAGATTTCTTTTCCAATTATTAGGCTTTCTTCCTTCACAGGACTGTTTTGACAGCACAGTATTTCCAGCCAAAAACTTTCGGAAAAAAAGGGTTAAAGCTGGAATACATTACATTAATTTCAAGTCAAATATATTGTTTATCTGAAAACAAAGGTTTATATGTACATGGGGGGGGGTTGGGTGGAGGGGGCGTTGCCTGAAGTTTTGGGGTTTGCTTTTATCACTAGTCTGGTGATAAAAATCTAAGCATAGAGAAGTCTGAGGTGGTGGAGCAGGTGCTGAGAGCTGCTTTGCCAACAGAGCACTTTGGAATTTTATTTTCCATGTTCCCTGTATTCTTCTTGTGTGTCCCAAACTGCCTCCCGGAGCCTTTCGCTTTCCCCTCTCCTTCCCGCTGTCACCTCTCGTGGGCTGTGGATGCGACATTATTTTTTTTATGTAGAAGATATGAACTGTGGGTTTACTTTTTTCCTGTTTCTTCATTATAGAATCATAGAATCATAGAATTTCCCAGGCCGGAAGGGACCTCCAAGGGTCATCTAGTCCGACCTCCCCGCAGTCAGCAGGGACCCCCCCAACTAGCCCAGGTTGCCCAGGGCCTCGTCGAGCCTCTCCTTGAATATCTCCAGGGATGGGGCCTCAACCACCTCCCTGGGCAACCTGTTCCAGTGCTCCACCACCCTCACAGTGAAGAACCCTCTCCTCATCTCCAGTCTAAATCTGTTCCCCTCCAGCTTGAAGCCATTGCCCCTCGTCCTGTCACTGCAGGCCTTTCTAAACAGGCTCTCCCCAGCCTTCCTGTAGGCTCCCTTCAGGTACTGGAAGGCTGCTATTAGGTCTCCCCGGAGCCTCCTCTTCTCCAGGCTGAACACCCCCAGCTCCCTCAGCCTGTCCTCGTAGCAGAGGTGCTCCATCCCCCTGATCATCCTTGTGGCCCTCCTCTGGACCCGCTCCATCAGGTCCATGTCCTTCTTATACTGAGGGCTCCAGACCTGCACACAATACTCCAGGTGAGGTCTCACCAGAGCAGAGTAAAGTGGCAGAATCCCCTCTCTGGACCTGCTGGCAACGCTTCTTTTGATGCAGCCCAGGATGGGATTGGCCTTCTGGGCTGCAGCTGCCCACTGCCTGCTCATGTCCAGCTTCTCCTCCACCAGCACCCCCAAGTCCCTTTCCTCAGGGCTGCGACATTCCGACATGTTACTTGCCATCAGAGTATGTCTATCTCTTCCAAGAGAAGCTGAAAAATTGCGTTCCTCAAAACTGTTGGTTGTGTCTGGCTTTCAACCGGATTGACTCTACTGGTTACCCCAGTTCCCTTGTCCATCCCCTTTTCCAAAATACAGTGGGTTGGTGATAAGGAGCAGATGAGTGGAAGCTGTCTTAGGTAAGGGTGGACGGTGGCCTCCCACTCCCAGGGAACATGGGGGATGGAGCTCTTCTGAAAAAAAGGGTGATTGCTTCCATCAACAATACGTAACCCTTCATTTATTTGACACCTAAAAAACCCAACATTATTAATTAATCATACTGGTGTCAGGAATCGCTCTGTCTCCATGTTACTTCAGTCTCTTCTCCCAAATCACAGGTGATGGGACAAGAGGAAACGGCCTCAGGTTGCACCAGGGGAGGTTCAGATTGGAGATTAGGAACAATTTTTACACAGAAGGAGTTATTAAGCCTTGGAATGGGCTGCCCAGGGAAGGGGTTGAGGCACCATCCCTGGAGAGGTTTAAAAGCCAGGTTGACATAGTGCTTGGAGACATGGGTTAGTGATGGGTTTTACCAGAGTCAGGTTGATGGTTGGACTCAATGATCTGAAAGATCCCTTCTCACCTTGACAATTCTGTGATTCTGTACTTGCAATAATCATTTAATCCCAGAATACTTGAATATTCAAGCATGAACTCTTGCTGAGGTTAGAGTCTATCTGATTGAATGGTACACTGTTGGGCCACACCAGCTTGAGCTGAGCACACGCTATTTAAAATCAATAGCAAAGTTCTGTCATTTCTCTGCTGTATTTATTTTCTTTTCTTTTTTGTTTTGGCTTTTTTTTAAAAAAAAAAAACCAACTCTTCGGGATTTTCAGTATTAGCTTGAAAGCTGTAGATAATTTTATAACTGCTGGGCTTGTTACAGCTACATATAATACTTTATAGCTACAATAGTAATGTAGAAGGAGATGGGGTGCCAGGAAGGGGTTAAGAAACCAGAATTTTCATACCATAGTATCAGGAAGGTACAG